CTTCCACTATCTAAACAGAATCAGTTTTGGCCACTGACTCCCTGCATGATGCTGACTTAAACCTTCCTATGTCTCGAGTGTCTTATCTTTAAAGAAGTTGAAGTCTTTTCACTCTCGAAGTCTGGGAGTCAAAGGCAAAACCTGGAAAGTAAGTCCACAGGCCACTTACTTCCATGGAATTGGTGACCCCATCTTGACAAGTCTGCAGTTTATTATCTTGAATCCCTTGCCTCCTCTCTAGCCCCCCCTCTCACAACCTCCATTCAACTCGATTATCTACTCTCTGGCCTAGTGCAATGGTTTGTGTGTGGTGGCCTCCGCACCTCCAACCCAGTGATTCTCAACCAGGGAGCAATTTTGTTACTCAGGATCGCATCTGACAATACCTGGAGACATTTTTGGTTGTCAATACCAGTGGGGTACTACTGGCATCTACTGGATAGAAGCCAGAGGTACTGATAACATTGTACAATACGTGGGCCAGTCCCAACAAAGCGTTATCCAACTCAAAGGTCAACACTTCTGAGGTTGAAAAAATTACTCCAGTCATACCCGGTGCCTTTCATCTGCCCTCTGCAACCACATATAATACAAAACACAATTCCAATCAGGTCATTTCCATGCATGAAATCCTCCAGTGTCTCCCAACTGCCCTCAGGTTAATGTCTAAACTCTCCAGCAAGTCCTGTGAGACCATATTATGATCTGGCCCTTTCCTAACTCTCTGCCTCACCTCTCACTGTTCCCCTAACCCCTCTTCCCCAAAGCCACACAAGAAACCAATGCAGGTGGATCAGACCCCACCAACAACTTCCTCTGCCTGTTAGTCTCATCCATTCATCCTGTGGCCCATCACTTGTACGTCAGACATTCTAAAGAGACTAAAAGGGAACAAGACACTCTCTAGGCAGCTTGAGACACTGCTATCTCATGAGGCTCGCAGAAAAGTGAGCACACAATTCAATCAGCAGAGGTACAGGCTCTGTGATCCCACTGCCATCTCCCCAGTGGGCTGTGAGCCTCCGAGGAGAGTGTCTTCATCTTCACAGGCCACAGCAACTTGCACGTGCCAAGTATGGTTTACCAGTTGTATACCTTGTCTTTGTCATAGCTGCATTAAGGAATGAATGAATTCCTGCCCTCTTTCAATTTGGCTCTTGCTCAGACATTAAAAAGTATTAAAATATCAAAATCCAAGGATGAAGCAAAATTCATTACATTGTACATACCCAGAGACAGAGCCCATCCACAAAGCCAGATGTTGGGAAACGCCCTGTTTGGTTTCAGGAACTGTAACCCCACTGACAGGCGAGAAGGCCCCAAAGCTGGAAATAATCAGGGAGGCCTAGGAGACATAACGTGTCCCCCCTGGCAGGAGTGTAGCTCCTGCCTCTCTGCTTTGCCATGTGATGATCGGTAATCCATGATGGGGAAGTTATCTCATGCAGAGATGACAACCTAAGACATGTATTGATCGGGTATTGGCAGCAGACAAGAAATTGGGACATGGAGAAAGGGCAAAAAGGCCCGTACCCCTCGGCTCAGCTTGGACATGACCGGAGTCCTCATTCTGTCCTAAAGAAGTCTCCTTGTCTCTTGGCGGCTCACTCCTCCTGCCGGGCTCAGGCTCAAAAATATACCACTGAATCAGTTCTAAACCAGATCTGGCTGTTCCCAGGGAAATCGGGCCTATGAGTAAATTCTTTAAAGTGTGTTTTGTTTTTCTTTCAGAAGCTCTAGCCAGCTCATGCTGAGAAATTTACATTGTTCACAGACCCTAACCCTTAGGCGCTCTTATGTTTACTACGCTCTCATGTTTAGTTGTCTCTCTTGTTTACTAGTCTCCTCTCGGACCCATGTAAATCAGTGTGTTTTTACCATGTGTTTTCTTCAAAACATCACCCATTCTCTGTGAACATTAACATATTGATGTAATGAGATAACCTGTGCATTCCTGTTACCTAGCTCCACTGATAACCCTTTCAATAAAAGCCTTTGAACAAAAAGACTCTGGGCCTTCCCCACTAGGGGAATGTGCCACATCCCCTCTCCTGGTAAACAGAGAAGGTTTGCAACAACTTGTGTTTATTCCCCAATCCCTGACATTCCTGGGACAGGCTCTGCAGGATTCAGACTCCCTGCTCCCATCTCAGTGGGCCCCAGACGGTAACCCTCAGATCCCAGCACGCTGCGCTCCCCGCGAAACGCTCCATCCCCTGATGAGGCAGGCAGTTGCTGCCTGGACCAGGGATGAGCAGTGACCCAAGGCGCCACTCCCCTAACTTGCAGCCCTCGTTGTCCACCCCACCCCCACAATCCCGCCCGTGCTACAGCTGGAAACATCTTTGTTTAAAGCCGTATCATTCTCAGCCTCTCTTCTCTTTCTGTATCAGAAAAATATAGATCTACAAAGTACGTATTTATCCCTATGGAATATCTAAATTCCATTGCCTGATACTCAAAGACAAGACACATGGAGCAGAATCTGACAAACAGTAACCCAAATATAATGCTATCAAAAACACAGGGCTAGGTTCACTGTGGGAATCACAACTTCAAATTTCATGGTACCTAAGATGAGTTTGCGCCTTCTCTGGATAGGGAAGTTTGATCTATCTACTGGACATTTAACAATACTGTCATTTCTACTTTTCTTCCTTTTAAATTGATTCTATATTCTAGAGGTTATGATTTGCCTGAGCTTCAAAACCCACAAAGATGTCCCATGAAAGGATGGATCTTTTAGAAAAGTTGTATTAGACATTTATAAAGTTATTTTTGACTTTTCAAGAAAAAGACCTATCAGTTTTACTTTATAGCTAGTAAAAGAATTTAAGATACTTCTTTAAAATTACTAAAAACTTTAAAATGCGGCTTATGGAGTCTACTCCATGTCATACAATTTTTGTATATTTAATGCAATTCTCATAATTTATGTATCTCTTGTTTACATTGTTGTCATGTTAAAGACATGTTAGCATTTAGCAATGGAACTGCATTATAGAAAATGGGGCAAAGCAGAAGTTTCTAATTGAATGGGATAAAGCGTCCAGGAGAAAGCCTGCCCAGTTCCCCTTCAACTCCTGGGGCTCCTGGAGCAACAGTAGCCTGGCTTTCACTTCTCCATAGTAACTGTTCAACCTGTCTGGTCTTCCAACTTTTATTCCCTTCTAGGTTTCCATTTTTGCGGACAAGACATAGTCACAGTCCCAAGCTTGGGTTGTGCTTTCTCCTTCCCTTCTCCATTCAACTTTGGGATAATTATGACCTCCAGAAGAAGAGATTTCCACTCAAACCAATATTCTAGGCATTTGGCAGGAATGAAAGCTGTTTTTACTTCACTTAAAAAACATATAAAAACAGAGAGGTGCTAGAAAATGTAGACAAGTAACATGGACCCAGAGACCCTGAAATTAATTTAGCACAAAACTCTAAGTTAGTTGTTGAGACAGAGAGTAGAGAGCATTACTTATAACAAGGCTGTCCTCATTATCATCATTTTGTGGCTCAGGAATAAAGGTGTCTCCTGAGACCCTATCCTTTATATTGTGTACACTTTCCTTTCCACCTGTGGTATTTTTGGCATCTAGTTGCCCAGTTCTAACCATTCAAGCTTTTTTTTTTTCCTCCCAGGAAAAGATTGACAAATTCTTTATACTTCAGTGTGAATTAGCTGCTACCATCTTTCCCCCAAGGGTATTTGCATCCCAAGCCATATTCCTATTATGAACTGAAAAGTTTTCCCCTGTGGTAATAATTCTTGACTTAAAACTGCAAGTGAAGGTGATCTTTTGGGGACAGGGTGGCCTGCTCTCTTGAAACTAACTGCCTAGTATCCAGATTTTAAACGATGAAACCAAAATCACATATAATTAAGGAAAGCCATGTTATGTTTGTATTCAGAGTTCCAATAACTTTATTTTGGGTGAATTGTTTAATTTACTTCAAAATTAATAGGAGTGTGAGATACCTCACCAGGTATCTGCCACAAGTGTGGTGAGATCCTTTGCTGAAGTAAGTTCTTCTAAGTGAAATAACCCAGTCAGTGAAATACAAATACTATATTATTTCACTTATAAGTGGAATATAATGAACAAAATAAACTAAAGAGCTAAATAGTACCAAAGGCGTAGAATCATGGGATAGACTGACAGCTGTAAGGGGGTTGGGGGAGGGAACTGATTGAAAGAAGGGGAAGGGATTAGTCAAAAAGCATAGAAGAAGGACGCATGGGCATGGACAATGGTGTGGGGATTAACTATGGAAGTGGAAGACAGGCTGGGCGGGGAAGGGGGGACAAATTGGGACAACTGCAATAACAAAGGATCAAAAAAAAAAAGCCTAGAAGCACATATGTTACAGTTTTAAAAAATATAAGAACTTTTGGGTTGAAGTAGACTCTACATATTGGAGCTTGTAGAAAAGGACTTATGGAAAAGGGAATAAGAGGCTAGAGAAATACTGAAACAGAAAGGGGATGACAAGTGTGGAGATACTAGTGGATAATTCTTTATAACCACTCATTTAATTGTGATTATAGTCAAAAACTTTACGTCCAGTAAAGCTTTCCTCAATGACGGGAACGTTCTCAGTCTGAGGTATCCGAGCTGGTAGTCATTAGCCACGTGTGACTATTGAGCATTGGAAATCTAGTTTATGTGGCTGAGAGACCAAGCTTCTAATTTTAAACAATTTAAACTTAGTTTTAAATAGCTACACATGGCTAGTGGATACCATATTGGGCAGCGCAGGTCTAACATTATTGCTGCTTAACCATGTAATTTTAGGGATCCTCTGTACCACTGAACCCTCTCCATGACAAACTGACAGAACTCACAAAACAATGCAGTCTTCTATCTGCAAACAGCTTATTTACTAAAAACACAGTTTATGACTCACTCTGTCCCCCATCCCAACCATTACCCAGCATACCCAGAATTGGCGCCTTGATCATTCCTCCAGGGTAAGCCTGCAACGGTGGCCTCTGGAAGTGTACTTACCCTCACCCAGTGGAAGGTCCTCTTCCTGCTCACTGGGGGAAGGCAGCAAGGGCTGCAGCGGCTCCATGTTGATGATGAGCTGTTTGTTCAAGGAGTAGGAACTACGGCTCTGGGTAATGTTGGCTCTGAAAGCAGACACAAGCCAGATAGAGTTGGTTTCCACTGCAGACACGAGCCCCTCCATCTCCATCAGCTGCACAAGCTGGGAACTGCCTCTAGACTCTCACAGTGGATTAGGCCAGTGAAAGATGACATACCACTGAAGACACACAGCCCTTTTGAACCTTAAGGCCCTGACAAAATGTCCAAGTGGTCTAATGCAACAAAGTAAAAGAAAAAGTATCTCCCCATATGTCATCAGACTTGGGCAGGCTAGGTGACAACACAAGCATTTGAAAAAGAATGGTCTCACTGAACTAGACACAGAGAAAAATGAATAAAGGGCATGGCTCAAACTAATTTAATGACCACACACACACACACAGACATACACACACACACACACATCACACACACACACACACACAACCTCTATCTACTAGGCAGATGGCACAGATGTTGCATAGCTACGAGCTACTGTAGTGTCACTGGATGTACAACATCTAATAGCAATTTTTAACATCTCTGTTCAAACTCATATCCCAGTCACTAACCAGCCACAGAACTCAGCTCTGCCTTCTCCTTTTGCAAGGAGCATGTACGCATGCCGGTGGCTGTGTCAGGCAGCAGATGGCCAGGAAACCATGCAGGTGTCTCATCAAGACTATTGGCTAGCAGGTGGGAAGCCCATATACACTGCCAGATGCAGGGCGCCAGCTGTCTGGCCTGACAGAGAGGGAGGCGGGGCATCTCTGGTGGGTGTTTGAGCACCCTTCTTCTCCCCACAGTTTCTGTCCAAACCAAAACCAACCCATCCTTCAAAGATGGTATCAAATGTCTCCTTCCCCTTCACGCCCTCCCTAAACTGGCCTCACAACGCACTCTTTCTGTTCTATGCTCACTCTACTCTCCCTTCTTTTATAACTCACCACATTTGTCACCTCTGTCTCTCTGTAATAATGGTTGTACTAAACACAATGAGCCCCACCTTGATAAACTCCTGAAGGGCAGAGACTGAGCTACCTATTTTCATCTGCCTTACCTCACCTCGAGTGGCACCCTAGAGGGCTGTTCAGGTTTGAAACTAATTGCAACCCTGGCTTGACATAATTGGCATTTCAGACTGGCCAGAGTGTTCTCCAGGCCTGTTGACAGGACTGCCATATTCCCAGGTGGGAAACGGGGAAGGGGCATCGGGGAAGATCAGGATGCCTGTTAGCATCTTGAATTGAATCCCCCCCGCCAACCCCTGCTAACTGAAAGGAAATTTATGAGGACTTGCTTAACCATGGAGTTCTTTTCTTCATTATTTCGTTCTATAATTACTTATTTTGCAGTATGTATGTACTGGACAGTCGGCCTTGTTCTGGAGAACTGTGGTCCTTGCCTTATGTAACTTACTCTCTAGAACCACATTTTTCAAACTTTTTTGATTGAGCTCTACATTAAGAAACACGTTATATATCACCTCTCTGTACACACAAATACATGCACACTTGCAGGAAGACACACGACTAAAGTGAATGTTTCACGCAGCAATGGTAGCTACTGCTATGTGTGATTCATTAGGGATTTTTTTTCTATTCTGTTGCATTTTGTTTAAAGTGCTGGTCTTGACCTCTCTTTTCATGTCATGTCTTGTTAATGTGCGACAGCCACAACTGAAAAAACATGAATCTCATGGAGGAGACTGATGACTGAAGGTCCCATGGGAACACTAAGGAAGGCGCCTGATCCTGCCCTGAGTGAGGAAACACTCAGGAATGACTCCCCAGGGCAGGTGATGCCTCTGGCGAGCACAGGCAAGCATGGGGGAGTTCATGGGGAAAGAGGCGGAGATGCGGATTCCTTGCAGGGAGGAGGTAGAAGGAAGGAGTAAGGAGGGGAGATTACAATTTCCTGTGAGCAGTTCCTTCTTTCATTGTGAAGGGTTCCCATTTTTTAAGCTTTCATGGGATCTCCTCCGGACCTGTGGCCATTCATGACTGCAATCCTAGCTCTGCAGAGACACAGCATGTTGCCATGTTCATGTGAACTATGTAATAGCTCTCTGACCTCTGAAAAGCCCACCTAATCCATTCTTGCACAAACCAGCTCTGAGTCACTGTGTTTTATTTCTGACCATCCAGGCCAGCTTAGGGGGCAGCAGTCCTGTCCCCCAGAAATCACTGCATATGCTACAACAAGGAGGGTCCCAGAGTGAACATTTATGGAGAGTCTTTTGCTTCTCATCAACCTCCCCCCACCCCCACACATAACACTCTTCATTTGGAGATAGGAAGTGTCCTACTGCTCACCTCCCAACATTGCAAGGTCTGGGCAGGTGCCTAGTGCTGGGACAGGCTGAGCTCCCCCGGGGGGACCTCACAGGTGAACACCTGCTTGGCATTGGATGGTCAGGAGAACACTGACTCCACCCTTCCATTCATAAGCTACTCCTGTTTTGCAGTAGCAGAGGTCCGAGGCTAGGGTCCGGGCTCATCGGTGGTGCCTAGAGTGAGGCAGATGGTCCCTACTGTGGGTTGAAACCCTAAGACTATCCTAGTCTATGATTCAGAGATGAACATGACTTCCCTGATAAGTACAAGACTCGGATAAACCCAAAGGTAGGTACAACTACCTTTGTAGGGGTTTCCCTGACCACCAAGAATCCAGGGCTGCAGGCCTTGATACTAGGCACTAGCCCAGCTGGAGGGAAAGACTAAGCAAAACTAGAATCAAAACGCAAGACTCCCACCTTTTCCTACCAACTCCTTTAGAATCAAGCTTACCTTTTTTCTTTTCACCTAACTCTCTTCTTGGCTTCAAGAGCCCACCAGCACAGTTGTCCTACTAAACAATACCAGAATTCAAATTCTGGTATCCTAGTAAACATAATACCATAATTCAAATAGCCCTTTTTTTAGCTTACAAAGTGATTTGTATACACTGTAAGATAGGCAAGAAAAATACCATATTCACAGATGAGGAACTTGACCCTCAGTGAGGTTATGACTTGACCAAAGACACTGAGATGGGCAGACTCGGGACCAGTCCTGTGCTTTTGCTGTGCTCCACAGTGCCTTTCTGCATGATTTATCCTGCAGTGTCCCAGAGGAAACTCTGTCTGCCACCTCCAATGTCCCGCCACGTGTAGCTATCCAAGGTCTCACTGGGTCAGACAGTTCTCTCAAGGATGTGCTGACATTCCAATCAGCTCTCATCCCTCCCTTTACCCTGAGTTCCTGAGGTAACAGATGCCCTGGCTGGGGTCTCCCCAGGCCAGGTGAAGGTCCACACCGTGTTTCTCCACTTTCACAATCTACCCAGTGGCTGACTATGCAAATACACCTGACCCACTTTGCAGCCCACCGGTGCGTGCACTCCAGGCACAGAACAGTTTCCAGATGAAACTGTCATTAAGAACTCTACTGAGGCAGAACGGTTTCCTTCAAGAGATTCCCCTTCTTAGAGTACTCTAAGATTTGTTTTAAAAAATGACGGCAAAAAACGAAGTGACTAAAATGAGGTCCATGGAGTCCTGCACCCCTCCCTGGAACAAAAGAGGTGCTGCTGGCCTGTCATCAAAAACTCCATCTGAACAGACTTTAACATGAACATGTCTATCAGCTTCTAGCTCCCCATCTTTGGATGAGAGACAATAATAATATTATCACTATCTCACATTTGTATGGCCCTACATAATTTTTAAAACACTTTATCTTAATCCTCATAACAAAACTTAGAAGTTGGACAACGTAATATTAGAAATCTAATTTGACAGATGAGTAAACTTAACCCGATGATCTGAGTTTAGTGATTTATCCAAGACCACACAGCTGGTAAGCAACACAGCCAAGATTAGAACCCATTCATGATTCCTAGACAGGGTCTCGTTTTAGGTACAAATACTACCTCTGGGTGTCCTGTGATGGTACCTGCTATGCCCGGGTAGCTCACACAGCCCTCCCTGGGCTCACCAGGCCTCTGAGATAGGAGGTGATTCTCACCAGGTAGCTGGTCCAGAGAGATTTGATTGAGGAACTTGTCAGCGGCAAAGATCAGCCGACTAAAATTAGAGTTAGCATCTTCTCTTTTTTGGGGGGGAAAAAAAAGAAATACCCCAACACAGTGTTCTCAGTCTGTCTGCATCAGACTCTCTCTAGACACACACATCTCGGAAGAAGTAGCTGTTCATGAACTTGTCATTCTTTGAAGAGTAGAATCTCAAGTTTGAGGGAAGATAGCTAATTGAAGCCGTGTTGTCACCATTCTAGACTAGTAATCATCTCTGAACACCGCCAGAGAAAGAGAGCTCATTGCTGTACTCTCACTTTTGACAGCCACATCAAAGAAGTCAAAATAATTCAAAAATAAAATAATTGTTCAAGAGAAACACTTTTCTACCATGCAACTGGCTACTGGGAAGGAACCAGCATAGTGGCCCACATCGCCATGGCTCCTTGTGCCGCACCTCGCACAGATCTCAGGTCTCAGAAAATCACAGAGGTACTGCTGTCATCCCACACTCCCAGCTCATGCAACCACTCAGCAAGTATGTACCGACCTCCTACTATGTGTCTAGCACTGTGTTAGGTGGTGTTGGGGGATATGGTGATGCCCAAGATGAACACAAGTCTTGTCCTCTCACAGCTTGCTCTACATCATTAATTTAAATAACTAAAGTCTTCCTTGTATTGTCAGAGATTTGAGAGATACTCCAAAGGATGGAGGGCCAGAGGGGCATCCTGATGATATGAACTCACATACATGTAAAAGAGGGTAGTGAAAGGAAAAGGAGGATGCAAAAGTGCCTCCAGGTCTGTAGGTTCCTGCGTACAGTAATATCCTGGGGAATTTTAGAAGATTCCAGAAAAGGGAAACTCTAAATCAACTGATGCCTCATTTCCCATTCCTTCTGGTGATTTGGTCCACTCCAGAAAAAGCTTTTTTCATTAAGGCCAGTCTGCTTTCTTCACCCCCTTTCATCATCAGTTATCTGAAGCCTGTTGATTCGAAGCGTTAGTCCATGACCAGCCCCACGAACATCACCTGGGAGCTTGTTAGAAATGGCTAATACATGAATCAGAATCTGTTGTTAACTGGACCTGCAGGTGATCCCTGTGCAAGTTAAGGTTTGAGAAGCCCTGATCCAGGAAGCCTGAATTCCCATAAATTATTCAAACTTCAATTTAAAAGAGAAATACTTTTTAAAAAATTCTTTTCTGCTCTCATTAACCATCCCTAGACTGTAACTATAGGACTCTTGGAAAACTTATGTATTTGGAATGTCTCTCTGAAAGTACATTGTTAGAAACAGTTGAGTTGTCTACTTTGTGCTTGTGGCATCAGGAGAACTCCCCAAAACTATTTCTTCTTCCTTTTAAGATCAAACACCAAAGCTTCAAGTTGAAAGAAGAAAACCAAGCAAAGCCCCTGAGGCAGTCTGCCTCCCAGCTTCTAAGAGAATTCCAGAAGCTCTCAGGGTGGCAGAGGCTTCAGAGAAAAGCACAGGCCTAGCCCCCTCCCCAAACATGACCTTAGGTAAATCATTTAATTTCTCCAAGATACCAGTTCCCTTGTCTATAAAATAGAAGCATTAAACTAGGTTATCCCTAAGGTCATTTCCAGCCCAAAGATTCTGGGAAAGTTCAAATGATATGCTTTTATCATTTTGCCTTCTTTGTTTCTGTTGCACTGAGTAACCGTGATTTGAGGTGGAAGAAGGGCAATTTAAAACCCTATTTTAAAAATGACTGTTGTCCTTGATGGGTGGGGCTGTAAGACCTTCCCAGGTATTGCAGCACGGTGCTCCCCAGCCACGGTGCTCTGGCTTCCCACAGCCCACAGTTTTCTCCTGCTTCTCGGAGCGAGAGAGGCTGGCTCGGCAGGCTGGCATGTGACTGCTCCTCACAGGTCATCCACAACCAGGCAGGGAATTATTCACTGTGCGTACCTGCATGGGCTCTCAGGCCGATGGCAGTTCTGCCCCACCGTGTGGGAGAGAAGTGACGTCTGGACACCCATACCAGTACAGATGGGCCACACTCCCAAGAAGCCATGACCTCCCCCTGCCCACCAACCCCAGGGGACAAGGTGAGAAGAACCTAACTCACCCAGTCACCCTGGAAGAGAGAGGACATGGGGCAAATCTGAGCCTCAGGGAAACTCCTCCAAGTTCAAAGACAGGAAAAATGAACAGGTGCCAACTAGTGTGTGGGAACTTCCTAAAGAACATAACTTTTAATGACCTTGTCTTCAAAAGGGGAAGCATGATGATGAAAATGTTCATCTTCAAATGTTTAGCATATTCGAGGTTTAAGGTATATAACGACTTGTGTACATTGTGGCGGTACGAAGTCCAACAAGGCCAAGAGAATACTTGATATCTAAGAATTCCATGTACTGCCACCTTAATGAAGACGTGTACCCTTGAACCAATAATGGCCAAGTCCTCATTCCTCCGAGTGACCCTTGGAAACAGAGTTCAGTGAGAGAGGAGCATCCCACCTCATGGGAACTACCCTAGAAGGATTGAGGCTGACGGGAACCCACCACATCTGATGAACAGAGAGAGGAGTACAGGGCAGTTCCAAGAGGACAGAACAAGGGACTCAACCAGGAGGTGACACAGCCTTGCTTCACACACATCCTGCTTATTTATGTGACACTCAAGGGCAAACCAAGCCAATGACTCTCCACAGGACAAATAACAAAATGGAGCCCAGCTGCCCTCATGCCACAGCCTAGCCAAATCTGTCTGAGAGAGATTTCCGGGACAGTCAGAGGGCCATGCCTGGAACCACGGATGAAAAACAACATCGGGCCTGGCAGCTGGTGCCCTTACCCTCTTTCCTGCCATGCAGGATTTGGCAAAGCCAGTGCTTAAATCCCTCTGTCCATCCCAGAAGCCTCCCAGAGCCCTGGGAGCTGCCTACTCACCTGTGCACTTCCGGAGGCTCCCTCTGGATTTTGGAGCTCGCCTCCACCACCTCTTTGGCAACCTTACCACTGCAAAAGACAAAAACACGTGTCTGCGCACAGATGCTCAGAGTGGAAGGGGAGGGATGTGCACGTGTATTTTTTTTAAACCTCTCAGCGGTCTGACCCAGCTCTCAGAACCCACACCTCCCCGCTCCCTCCATGAGGGGAAGTTACTATGGAGTCTGAAGGTGCTCCTGAGCATAAAGGAGGAGTGAAGTGGAAAGGGAGGGCTGAAACAGGGGCGTAAGCCAACGTGCACAGATTTATAAACAAAACACTCAATATAAATGCCTGCCCCCACTGCAACCGTATCATCAAAATGGAGCCATGGATACCCACCTATATCGGAATCTACTTCCTTTAAAAAATATCTTGCTGCTTGACACAGTCTTGATCTGACTGGATTTTGCATACCTTTAAGAAAAAGCAAAGAAGACATGGTAGCAACATTGGAAAGTCCAAGTGGGATATGCTATCAAGTGTAGCAATCAGGTATTTCTGACTGCCAGAAAGAAATACATTTTATTGTGTGAGCTGGCAGGCACACACACACAAACTCGAAAGAAAAGTTTCACAAAAGAACAGTTAACTTGCACTGCATTTGCAATCTGATCTTTCCTGTGTTCTCTCTTTTCATTCTTTTTAAATATTAATGATGACCCATACATTTAGTCTCATAATCCATAACTGAGTCACAACCTGCAAAAAAGACAGACCATATCAATGATCAGAAGAAATTTTTTCCCCAATTTCTAGTTGAAAGATATGGAGATGATGGATAGTATCATGTGGCATCATTAAACTCCTTGCTACAGGGGAACTTACCTGCCTATACCAACACAGCAGCAAAAAACAGTTTCTTGGTGACACGGGTCGCTCACCGTGTCACAGAGAACGTACTGTGCACTACTGTGCAGTGCCCCAGAGAGGGCATGAGGAGCCCATGTTCCCCTGGAAATGGTCATTGGCTTCTGAGTATTTTCCTGGGTAAGTCACCATGACCCAGTGCCCTTTGAAAGAAGCCACACTGGTAAATGACTAAGATACATGAGGAACAAGAAGCCCCGCCAAGCCCTGATTCAGCACCTCTGCGCCCTGCCAGTAAATGCAAGCAAAAACAACAACAGCATTTTGAGAAACACTCCAGAACATGGGCTGCCCAGAGGCCACACACACGGCACTAAAGTACTGTGATAGCGGAGAAGGCCTCCACACCAGTCGCTCTACGCCTTGTGCAATTAAATCCAACAAGGTAGAAAGAATGTTCTCCTGGAGTTCAGAATTATTTTTTAATATTGACACACAACAACCTCAATTTAAAAAACCCACAGTACGAACAATGTACTCTGCTCTATAATTCTGAGTAAAGATGTGCACACAGCCAGGGCTCCAGCTAGAAGTCTCTGTGCGGGCAGTAATCCCTATCCCCAGCCTCTCGAAGCCTTCATTCATTGGCTCAGCAATCACTAACCAAACGCCTAGCCCACTCTGCACACCATACTATGCTCAGGAAAGATTCACATTCTCCGTATTTATGAAGTGTAAGGTCTAGAGAGGAAATGAATATTAATCTAGAAGTCACACGAATAAGTGACAAATGTAAATTCCAAGCTGTGGTGCATGCTCTGAGAGAAAAGATGCAATGAGTGTAAGGTGGGGGGACTGATCCAGTCTGGGGGCCTGTCTAAGGGAGGGACATATGAGCTGAGGTCCAGGGCTGGGATCCCAGGCAGGTAGTGGGCAGTGTTCTGGGCAGAAGGCCCACAATGCACAAAACCTTGAGCCTGAGCACTGGAGGAACTAAAAGGAAGATCTGATGTGCATTTTCCCATGTTATTTTGCTATTATTATTTCTCTTTCTCTCCTTCTCTCTCCCTCTGGCTGTCTTTGTTAAGGATTTTAGTCTTTGTCCTCAGAAAAATGGAAAGCTACAGTAAAAATCTTTTGCAAAGAAGCCCCGTCTCCTGACCACCTCTGCAAACAGCCTGAGCCAGCAGAGGAGGTCGTTGACTACAAAGGATGAGCAGGGACAGGGAGATGGACAGAGAGGAGGCCTGAGGAGGGGGTGCCTGTCAAGGCAGAGCCCAGAGAACATGGAATAGGAGCCCTAAAGATAGGCGGGAGCACGTGAGACCACATCTCAGACCATCCGACCCTGGGACAGACCTGCTGGCTGCTGGCCAGAGCTGGGCGACAGAACGCACCTAGTATAGAGGAGAAAAGTCCCCAGTAAGCTCAGTAAAAAATGTCCTGCTGGGTCCCCTTTGTCCTGTGAGGACTCACCTGCTCCAGGCCCATGAGTCCCCCATATCCCCTGCCCTAGAGAGTTGCAGGTGGGCCTGAAACATGTTCCACTGGAGTCTGAGAAAAGAGCCACCCCTACCTCCCTCAGCAGGACTGTTGTTCCCAAGACCTCAGAGGTAAACAGAAGAGAAACCTTTAAAGAAGCCTCTGTGCCAGGTAGCTCAGTTGGTTAGAGCATTATCCCATACACCAAGGTGGTGGGTTTGATCCCCGGTCTGGGCACATGCAAGAATCAACCAATGAACGCATAACTAAGGTGCAAAAATGAAGCAGTGTTTCTCTCTCCCTTTCTCTCTCTAAAATCAATAAACTAAAAAAAAATTAAAGAAGCCTCCATATTTTGTTACTTATTTTGCTGTTGCTGTTAGCGTTGACCTAGGTTCCTAAGGATCTTGGGGGCAAGGTAGTCTGCTAAAAAGAAGATTAAGAGTCTTGGAGTGTTTGAAATTCAAACCCAGCTCTGTGCCCAGATTTTAGCAGCTCCCAGGGGTGCGGCTAGCACAGCAGCTCCAGTGACCCTCTTCTGGGGACAGGTGGGCGGCTCTAGTTTTTGCTGATTCAACCTCAGGTCCCTTGAGGAGGCCGCTGCCTTCTCCTGACACCCAGGACTGGGGGAGGGCTCTGCACTGCGTGGAACATTACCCCGCGGAGTGCCTCGAGGAAAACAGGGCAAAAGACATATTTCACAGAGAAAGCCAATAGCTGTCTGCCCAGGACGAGAGAAGTGAAAAAAAGCGTTGGCCTTTTTCTGGCAGCTGATTGCTCTTGGTGATTATTTGTGGCATTTGATTTGCTCAGAGGCACTCTCCTAAGCACTGCCTCCAATTCCCTCCCAAATACCCAGGTGGACTCCCTATAATGTCTGGGTTGAGATCTTCCACGGAATTTCCCCAGGGAAGCTGATTCTGAGAGCTTGAACAACACAAACCCACTGGGAACTGGGAAACACAGGCAGCAGGACAGAAGGACAAGGTCAGGGGAAGGAGAAAGGTCGACTTTTCCCCAATGCTGGCCGAGCATCAGCAGTACCTGGAACACGGGATAAAAACACTGGCCATCAGGCTCCATCACTGGAGTCTCATTCAGTGAGTATGGAGAGGAGCCCAGGAGTTAGTATTTGTACCAAACAGCCCAAGGCCATTCAAAGGCTGCCCACTTGCATTTGAGAACCTCTGAGTTCCAATATTCTCCTTTAAATGACCCAAGAGGTGGCCTTTTAACTGAAAGAGCAAAGGTCGAGGTTCCTACCTCCTGTTGGTCCTGTGACCTTAGTCAAGTATTATAGTTTTTCTGGGTCCCAATATTTCCACTAATTTTTAAAAGGGGGAGGGTAGTATAATACCCTCTAATTCATCGAGTTCTGAGGAGGATTAAATGATTTGAAAGCACCTAGCATACAACCTTCTCATTATATATGGTTTCTGTCCCTCTCTCCCTAATACCACTCCCAAAACCTCCCCATTGCCTTCTCATGATGGTGCTACCAAAGCCAATTCTCTAAATCACAGAAATTCCAGGGAGCCGTGTCACACCCTGAAAGCGAATAAAAACTCCTTCCTGCCCGAACTCTAGCTGACACCTTCCAGAGCTGTTTCCCTGGCTCTCCCATCAACAAACCCACAGCCAAAGTCTTCTTCCCACTAAAGGCAAACACAGGCACAACTGAGTTAAAACAGCAATTCTCTCTCCTCGGGCCTTCCTCCCTACCTGCCTTCCCCCCACTTCACCTCCAACTCCCCATCAAATATCCCAGCACAGGAACACTGACTTCTCAAACATCCAACCTCAAAGAAAAATCCAGACAGTAGCCAATTTACCAACATCTGATCTGACTACTCTGAATTCAGATAGTGGCCTGGTCACTACTTACCTTTCTGCTGACACAGCTCTTCGCCACCCCTCATTCCAGACCTGCCAGGGCAGCCACAGTACCCAGAGACCCATGGCTCTAGTGGATTTTCCTGCCCAGCCCTGCCATCAAAGCTGTGTTTTAAATGGGGTAACCCATGCAGACATTGCCTGGAACATGCAAAGTGTTCGCTAAGTGTGGGTATCAATGGTGCACACAGCACAGCACTGCAGGGGCACATCGCTCCTCTCCCTGCTCCTAACTCATCTCCTCTGACACCTGCTACTACAGAGGCTGGGCATGAGGCCAGGTGAGGGGCTAGGGAGGAAAAGGGGGACCCTTGGGTGGTGCTCTAAGAGGCCACCTCTAGAATTAACAATACAATCTCCCATTTTATCATGGTTTACAGTTTCTGGAGTAATCATAACAATAACAACATATGTCTTTATTGAGCACCTACTATGGGCCATGCACCATCCAAAGCACCGTAAGCATACTGATCTATTTTATGCTTACAGCTCTCTTCGAGGAAGAAGCAATCCATACTTCTACATGAGGAAATTGAGGCACAGAGGGGTTCAGTCACCTAACTATGGTCACCTGATAGAAGCTGGAGAAACCAGGCTGCAAACCCAGGTCTATCTGCATTTTTAAAAGAGTGCTTTAGTTGTGCAGATTTTCAGACTTCAGAGGGCAGCAGAATCACCTGGCAGGCTTTAGAAAATACAAGTTTCTGACTCAATAAGTCTGGTATGGACCCAGGGGTGCATTTGTAACAAGTTACCAGGAAATGCTGATGCTGGTCCAGGGGCCCTACTTTGAGGCTCACTTGACTTGGGCACTTAACCCTAGACTGCGCATCCGCACCACCCGAGAATTTTTATTACTACCAGCATCTAAACCCCTCATCCTAAATTCTGAATTTTTCAAGTAACAGCTTTATTGAGATATAATTCACATACCATAAGGTTTACCCTTTTAGACTGTACACGTTAGTAGTGTTCATTATAATTCACAGTTTAAAAATTCATCGAAAAACATTTTCGTCACCCCAAAAGTACCGTCCTATAGCCAATGGCAATTACTTTCTGTTTCCCTTCCGCTCCAGTCCTATACAACCACTAATATACTTTCTGTCTCTAAAGATTTGCCCATTCTGGATATTTCATATAAATGGAATCATTTAATACGTGGTGTTTCATGACTGGCTTCTTTTTACTTAGTGTAATGTTTCCAAGGTTCATCCGTATTGTAGCATGAATCAGTACTTCACTCTTTTTATAGCCAAATAATATTCCATTGCATTCACATTTCTTTTATTCTTTCAGCTGCTGATAGTCATTGGGTTTTTTCATTTTTAGCTACTCTGAATAATGCTGCTGTGAACATTCATAAACACTTTTGTAAGGATCCAGATTCTGATTTAATTGGGTCTGGGGTAGGGCCCATAGGGTAGGTGTTTTTCAGAAGTTCCCTCGGGTCATTCTAATGTGCAGTCATGGCTGAGAACCCCCTGCTTAGAACCTTATTATTCAAAGTGTGGTCCAGGGACCTTCAGCCCAGCATCACCAGGGAACTTATTAGAAATACGATTCTTGGGCCCCACCCAGATCTATGAATCAGAGGTCAGAGTCTAACAAGACCTCTGCGATGTGTGGTTCATTTAAGTGTGAGAAGCACTGATTCCCAGAGCTACTCGGGGTCCTTGCCTACCAAGTGTAACATGGTTCCACTGACAAAATCCACACCAAACTCTGAATGAGGAATTTATTAGGACTGCCTTCATCCCCTGCACACACGCCACACAAAACTGGGGTCAGAGAGTCTCTTTTGACCTCCACCATGTTCCCAGTTCCCAGCACAGTTCACAGCAAAAGCTGGTATGGGATAAAGATTTGTCGACTGGAAACACCGGTGACCAATGAGCCCTTCTGTGTGTCCACTGTGCTTTCAGGGGACCAGCACCCAGAAATGGTGAGTTCTAGGGCTCTGGGGGTACAGCACCTAGAAAATACATGGCACAAAGGAAGCTCTGAAATGGTGACTAAGACTATGTCAGGGATCCCATGGGGTTTGGAGCAGGAGGAAAAAAATCAGAGTTTCTGTATCTGGGCTCTGTTCCCAGGCAGCAGCTCTCAGAGCCAGGGCTTTCAAATCTGATCAGTGGCCCTGGGCCAGCTGACAACCAACAACCCATTCACGGGTTGAAAGCACACTTGGGAATTCCTGCCCACTGGGCCTCCCGGTTCCCATGGCAGGTGAACTGAAAAGGAGGGACAAAGCACCCCCGACCCAGGAAAAAAGGCCAGGGCCTTGCTCTGCCCACCAAAATGATTAAAGCACAGTGCCAGCCGGCCAGGCCTGGAAGCAAGGCCAGGACCTCTGCCTGGGGAAGGGACGGTGCCAGGGAGGAAGCAGGCACCCACCCTGAGGCTAACAGAATCAGAGCCTTCACAAGTGAAAGGGCTGGGCTGTGCAACCAACTGGCACTCAAAAAACTGTCATTGTTAGTGGAGGGGGTAGTTGTGGCAGTCCCAGTAGCAGCTACTATTCATTGATGGTCCATGTGCCTGGCAGAACGAAACACTGCAAGACACATGTTACCAATCACATTTTACAGGTGAAAAATAAAGATGAAGCTCCAAGAGTTCAAGTGCTTTGTTCCAGGCCACATTGCTGTGAAGTGACAGAGTCAAGATTCAGACCCAAGCCTGTTCACTTGCAAAGCCGACACTTGTTAACACCAGCCACAGTGAGACAAGCAAAGCAAGCCTGAGTCCCAGCCCCCACCAGCTGACTACTGAGAAGGCTGGGGCCAGGGACTTGCCCAAGGTCACAAAGCTGGCTCCGAACAAGCAGTGTCTTTCCTTCTCCCTAAGGAACAGGGATGGTTATGGGATAATGGAGGAACAAAACGTTCTGGAACATCTCAGATCAGTACAAATATTAGGGATTAGAAGTTCTAGCAAGAGAGAGGGGGTAGCATGGCTTAACGACAGCAGAGGTGCTGATGCAAAGACTCAGTCACCTGGGTACACTGCCACTGTGCTCACAGGTAAACTGCCTGGGTCCTCCGAGGCATTCACAGATGACTGGCACTGATTTCGCTAATATGCCTAGTTAGCCTATTCAGCAGCAGAATTATCATATTGACTTCATTGCTAGCTGCCAGGTAATGACTGTACCCCAAAATGTACAAAACAGATTCCCCAGATTGCAGTTTCTTCTCTCCTCCTTTCTCTCTCATCTGTTCAGTTCTGTTTTTGCCTTTGACTCCATCTACCAACTGGCACTCTCACACATGATAAAACAGCATGTGTGTAAAAGACTAATTAATGTCCTGACTTATTCCTTGATAGAAGTCCCATGATCTCACTAAGGATTTTCAAGGTTGTGCTGCTTCCAAGTAGGCCTTAGAGAGCTGGCGCAAGAAGCCCGTGTGCCGGGTGGCCTCCTCTGCTACCCACTCCTTATACCTGTCCGTGGATCAGTAGCAATCAGCCCCACCTAGTGCTCCTCTGCCACCTTTTCAACGTGGCTGAGCCCCAAGATCTCCTGGCTCCTCACCACCTCTGTGTCTATTTCATTCACCTACCCTCTGCTCCAGCCTTGTGGGACTACTCACCTTCCCAACATGTCTTCCGGGTACCACCCTGGTCCCGTATTCAGAATGCCCTTCGTCCACCTCAAAGAGCCTTCTTTTTACTTCCTAGGTCCTCCTGCAGCAACATGCACCCTCTTCTCTGGACCCCTCTTTAGCCTTTCATTTGCATTTCCCTTTCAGTCTCTATCATGAACTACAAATCTCCTTGCAAGGGAACCATGCCTTATCAATTTGATCTAATAACCCTCTTTTGAGTGCCTGGGGTGTTTAGGAAATACAAAGATAAAGAGAACCTAGTCCCTACTCTCAGAGAGATCAGATCCAATGCAGATATAAAAATCTACAATAAAAGAACGGCATGCTATATCTTGTTTTGCCTTTGTTTCAAGATTCTATCTACTAACTCCCTTATTTGCAAGACAATAGTTATTCAAAATAATTAAATGTCTCTCAATTATTATTTGACAGGAACCAGATGATTTTATTAAAGAGGAACAGAAGAGTTTCAACAGCTTAAGCTTCAAAACAGTTTATCACTTTCTCAAAGAGTTAAATATAGAGTTACCCTATGACCTAGAAATTATACTCCTAGAAATAAACCTAAGAGAACTGTCCAAAGAAAAAAGTTATGTGGATTCTGATAGCAGCATTATTCATAATGCCTAAAAAGAGGAAACAACCCAAATGTCCATCAACTGACAAATAAATAAACAAAAGATGGTATATCTAAACAACGGAATATTATTCAGCCATAAGAAGCAATGAAATACTGAGACAGGCTACAACATGGAAAGTCCCAGGCAAACTGGGACAACTAGTTACCCAAGCTCCTGAGGAAAAGCAAGAAATGGATGAATGGTCTCCTGTACCCAGGCCCAACTCTGGTCGCCAACAAATACCACAGGATTCTCTCTTTTTTTTTTCCCCCATACCAAGCTTTGCCTACAGTTCTTTTTAAGCCAAAGAGTTCTGTGGCTGAAGGGGTTTGTAAATTATTATCCAAGCCATCATCCTCCTAATGGTCCTCAGCCAAAGCCCAGGAGTTCAGAGATTCACATTCTCACAGAAGTGAGTCTAATGAGTAAGATAGAATCTCATGTGGTTTGACGAGAAAGGCTGAGAAAAAGCCACCGGATGAGCTCCAGGGGTCGGCAATGCTGATACCCTGCAGTCTGGACCAACTTCTGGACTGTGTCGATCACCGCTGCTCTTCCAATTAGCAAGTGTATCTCAAAGAGGAGATGCTGGAACTCAGTGAAAAGATCCTAAATTTGAACCTCTTTGGAAACCTGACAGCTTTATGCAAGGTTTCTGAAGCCCTGCCCAGCCAGCACTGACTTTCTATGATAGGCTCTGGTGGCATTCCACCCATAAAACTTTGGCTCTCGTCTCTATATACTGAAGGCTTCTTACTATGAACACGTGTGACTCTCTGCCAAAGGTTTCTTTTTTTGGTCGTGAGTGTACATTCAACCCAAGTCAGAGTAGGCCAGAAGTGCCAGAGAGTATCAACTCTGCCTACAAAGTGGCCCTCAACCAAAAGAAATGAAGAATCTGTAAATAAACAGCCCAACTCCCTTGTCAGTCAGTGGGTGAGCTTTGAGGCACATTCTACCATCTGCCAGAGCTCCCCTGCAGAGCAGAGCCCAGCTGCCCGCAGTAGTGACCTGCTCAATAGCGCCCTCCTGCACTGCCTCTTTCCCCGTCTCCTTTCCCCACTCCCCAATTGGTATGTTCAGTGATCATATCCCAGAGAAACCACTTGCACTGAACTCTTCTCAAGATCTGCATCTGAGAGGGGCAGCCAACCAAATATAGATCCTGTGGCATGTTGAATGGAAATAGCAATGACAACACACACACACACACACACAGAACAATTCCATGGGAAACGCCTAGCAGGGAGCTCAGGACTTGCTTGACCCAACAGTGCTAAGGAGTCACCCTGAACAATGCACCCAAATTTCTAATTCATTTTAAAAAATAAAAAGGGCTCTATTAAAAGAAATGAATGTGGAGCTGTTTGCAAAATATAAAAGAGTTCTACGGGTGTTTTTAAAAACCTATGATTAAATAAATAAAAGCTACTTACTTATAAAAGGCCTGGTTCTCCACCCCACATTTCCAAAGATGTTTGCAGGCAGCTGGTGTTGAAGTATGAAATGCCAACATGGCTTTCTTCTAATAAAAAAAATAACAAAACAAAAAAGAGTGTGTTAGAGTTTATGGTTTTCATATTTTTCCTTCAGTACATACCTATTTGTATCCCAACGCCTACCAAACAGATTTCAAGTGTTTTTAAAATGGTATTCCCTCCATCCCACGACCCACCTCACCCTTTGCAAACATCACTAATCTAACCAGGCCCTGTTTCTAACTTTTAAAAAAGCAGCCTCATGATCTTCAACTCTGCAGGCATTGCCTCCTCTCAATCAGACTTGGATTATTTTAAGACCTTACTTGTCAGCCTTGAATAATTAGTGCATAAACTGAAAATGCGGTCAGGAGACTCTGCAAACTTCCAGACCTAGCCCTAGGTTCCAAGTTTCAGTAATGCCCTCCTCCCAAATGTGTTCCCTGGTGAACCCAACCTATATCTGGTAACTCCTTTACTTTAAAATTCTTGGATCTTACAGATTCTGTTTATAAAACTCTACCCATCACAGGTTGGTATCTGGCTTGGTAAGTATTCTTCACTCATCTCATAGATCTGTATTTCAGTAGATTACAGACGTATGGGAAGCCCCACTTGCCAAATCTCAAGTCCATCCCAGTCTATTTTTCACACAAGGGTATCCGCTCCGCATTGTTCACTAACTCTATTCTTAAATGTGCAAGCCCAGTGTTTATTTGTTTACCTCTCAAATATTCTCAGCATATAGTTTCCATTATCACCACAAACTTTAAAGTCATGGTCTTCAGGGGCTATAATGCTACAGGCAGGTTTTATGCTTAAATCTCTCTCATGGGCACACGTGTACGCATGCACATTCACACACAATAACAGAGTTAGAAAAGCAGTATCTGACCTCCTTCTGGGTACCAATCACATAAAATGTCTTCCCTTCAAACTTCAATTTGCAGACATCTGGCCTAAGGAAAAAAAAAAAACTTTGGGTGAGAAGAAAAAAACAAGTGGCAACTTAACCAAGGTACCTGGCTTTCCCATAGGTATACGGCTGACTCACAAATGCCAAGCGGACTGCACTGAAACAAGATACTTATCATCGGTGAAGGCCAAGTGAGCAGGGAAAAGCCCCCAAGTGAATTATACAGCCATTTTCTTCCCAAGAGAGGATCCACAGGCAGCTCGACTATTTACTCCACTCTTTTACATTTAAGCTGCACCTTTCTTTCAAGGAGCTCCAGAGGTCTCATGAACCTTAACGACCAAAACAAGGATCGGCCAGCCCAGGAAGAATGCGGTGATTTCAGATTCAGTTAGTGAAATGACATGGATTCACAATATCTGATCCCCCACCCTCTCACATTCATCTCTAAGAAGGACACACACCATGCTGTGAAATTCTCATTCCTGCTCTCCCTGCTTATAGAAGAGTATTTCATTATGTATTGAAATGCTCAGAATTGTGAGGACAGCTTGATGAATGGGCATCTTAAGAAGCTGCTTGATTAAAATCTGCCTGAAATGCAGACACCAAGTCACCTTCTTGGTGAGAAAGTATGTGTGAAGGGGAGGATTCTATTTTTATTCCTTTGATCTAATTTCTCAGATAGTGATGGTGGGTGCCCTGTGCTTTTCCTAGGAAATAAAGCACAGTGAGGTCACATTAAGTGGTCTTAATTTAGGTAGAGGATTTGCAACAGTGACAAAGCCCAATGGATGTTTAAAAAAACAAACAAAAATTCCCCAAGGATCAATGTGAGAAAACAGTTTGTTTTAGTAACAATACATGACTATTAGAAACCCATGTGCCTAATCAGAGGCTGGGAAGGGTGGGGTTGGCATCAGCACCCCAGCAGGAACACCAAGACGCAGAACATAGAAACAAATGGTCAGATTGTCCATCTCAGCTCTTGAATGTACCCAGGAAGAAACTGAGGTCCAAGGAGGGGAAAGACTTGCAATTAATCTGCACTTGAGATGTGTCCAGTTCTAACCTACACAAGCAATTTAAAACCTGAGGCTCTAACACTCTTCAGGACCCCAAAGCCTTTGATAGCCCTAGGGTGGAATGGAGGAAGTCCCCCAATTACCCACACTCCCCAAAGACAGTAGAGAACTTATCCTGGAAAAGGGTTGAAAGTACCAATTGAGTAAAAGGCAATTATAGACAGGCCAAGGAAGATACTTAGAGAAACTGGGCATCTTAGAGAGGGCTGATCATGAAGAAGAGCAGAAGGTGGAGGGAGAGGAGCGGACATAAGCTGACTGATGCTAGTCTAGTAAAGAAGGTTTGAAAGGGACCTAAGAAGAGAACGCTAAGAAGGTAAGGAGGGCACCTTGATAATGAAGGGCTAAAAGAAATCCTGGAGTGATAGAGCCATGAAACTGAAATTCAGGTAAGTGCAAGAGAGCCTTTTCTAACTCAGGAATGAGGATGGATGCCCATTGGCCCATCAAGAAGGACTTCAGATTCAAGCACTCAAGCCAAAGAAGTGAGTGCATGGCTCAGTGAGATGCAACAAGGCTGACAAACCTCTCAGGGACTATCAGAGAGGGCAGTGAATCAGCTGAAGGTATGAACAAGACTACTCCTTTCCAATATGCCATCACACATGAAATGTTCAGCCTTCTTCACTCTTTACCAAAACCACGTTGCTCCTTGATTGGACAGAGTGGGTGCTGCAGGTCACCATACTGCCACTTCTTTATTGACACAATCTAGGTTTTCTTCTTCCTCGGGGTCATGTACTCATACACATCATGCTCTTCCCAATCCCAAGAGGATGAATCTTGGTTCTACCACCCAGTCAGGAGTTCCCATTCTTCTCAGAAGGATTGCTTTAAGTAGATACTTGTGACTCAATCCTGCCTCACCGGGTATACAGGAAGCCTCCTACAGGGCTTCTGAAAAGGTTATACTTGTTTTACTAGTAGACACATGGAAGGGCTGCTGTCCTTCCAGGCCCTGGGTGTTGCTCTGTGAAGATGTTAAGGCCAGAGAAGCAACATGACCATGCCATTTTATGAGCCTGGGGACAAAGGCTACCACCCTGTAATGGCAAAAAAGAAAATGGAGAGACCCACATCCTACAAAGTGTTGTTGGACAGTGAAGTTAAAGGTCCACGGAACTGTCTGAGCTCTGTAACTTTTGCTGTGTCAGATACTCAGTCCTCTTATTGGTAAGCCACTGTGAGCAGATGTTACTGTTACTTTGACCAAAAGCATCTCATTAATACACTGGATAACAAAAACTAAGCCAGCAGCAAGGATCGAACAGAATAGACTGAAGTGAATGGGAGGGACTGGGCCCTGTTGCTCAAGGAAACTAGCACCTTTACCCGCCCTGACCACCCCCTTCCCTGCACCCTGGTCACCGTCTAGTGAGAAAACACTGGACACCTTCTCTTCAGAGGCAGAGCCCCTGAGCTCAGGACACACCCAGGTCTCCTGAGTTGACTCCTCAGCTTGACAAATCCGATTCCCTCCTAATACAGGGCAACCTAGATTGGGTTTCACTTATAAATAATAAATCCCTTTGTAATGAAGTTCCCAGGCAAAGAAATGAATACCAGGCATCCTATCTGACATCTCAAAAAAAAAAAAAGTCAAAATTGGGGAAAGAAGAATAAGATTAAGAAAAATGGTAAGCCAGTTTTCAAAAAAAGTATTCACCATTTTATCAAATGGATTCTCTTATTTCCCTGGAATACCACAAAGCCTGCAGCCGTGAATCCCAAAAACGTCGTTGTCCCTGTTGAATCCTGAAAAATAAAACAAAATAAAAACATATTTAAATTGAGGGATATAAAATAAATGGTAAATGTATGCTTATTCACCCTCACCCTGGGTTAATTTCAGGTTAATTCTAATGATTGTAGCAATAAACTAGATTTCTGAGATGGGACTTCCAACAACAGGACTTCCAGAGCCTGGGCAAGGTCCAGGAATGCGTAGCTTTTCCTTCTGAGGACAGATTTTTCTCCTCTCCAAGAACCACCTGGGAAAGCACAGGTCAGTCCTAAACCATTGTGACAACCAATGCAGCATCCTGAGCATCCAGTGCAGCTTGATTCAATCCCACATGGGATTCCTGGCAATTTTAATGTAAAGATATGTCCAGAAATACCTACTTTGCTTCCAGCCTCAAACCAGAAAACAAAGCATTAATAAATAAAGGAAGAGGAACAGCAATAAAAATCTAGTCAGTCTCCAAGTAATAAACAGAGCGACTCAGATTTGTGGATCAAATCTAATTCATTAAATACTCTAATCTTATTTATACCATGACTAGGAAGAGGCATCTGGCAAATATTCTAAAATAAATGTGTGAGCAGACCGCAAGATGCGTGTACCAGTGTGGACAACTGAACCACCAGCTCTTGGCCTCAGCTACACATTGGAATCATCTAGACAGAGTGGTCTGCACCCCAAAAGATCCTCGTGAAACAGGGTGGCAGGAGTTCAGGAAGCTCCCCACTTGCATTGTAACAAGGAGCCTAAGCTGAGACCTATAAGACTAGCACTTGACCAAATACAACTATCTGTTCCCACCTGGGTAAAGAAGCGTTACGGTATCACTCAGGAACTAACTTTAAGAGACTAACTGATATAAAGGCTTAGTTTATGATACAGGTTAGTGCCTAGTTGATGCACAATTAGTTTAAGACATGGAAAGAAGAAAATTTTTCATAAAATATTTCTGGAAAATGTGTGCATGAGTATCGCCTTGAGAATGTGTGTAAAAGGTGGACCTGCCAGGTGCACTCCCGGTGATTCTGGATCAGTAGTTCTGGGTGGGGCCCAGGTGCTTCTGATGCACATGGTCAGGTTTCATGCTTGAGAGAAATACTGTCAAAATAATACACGTAAAGGAAAAAGAAAAACAAATAGTCTGAATGTCAAAAAAACTTAGCTCTTTCTTTTCTTCCACTTTCCCATCTTTTCAGTCTGCATTCTTGCTGGCATTGGCCTTGAAAATAAATGTTAGGATCCTGTAACTTCTCAGGGGTAAAATCAATCACTTAATGGATGAATGAATCTATGTAGGTTAATGTAAGAATATGTGGCTACTATGTAGCAATTAGCAAGCAATTGGTTTGCTCCAATGGAGAAGACCAACTACTGAAACATGTACCTACAGCCCTCCAGTGAGGGGCGGAGGATCAGGCTGTGGAAATGTCCTCAGAGGGGTCTGCCAGGTATACACGACAATTAACTCTTTTTGGGCAAAAACAATCCTTAAATGTCACCCTGCTGTGAGAGGCAGTTACCTTGCATGGATGGGGATCCACCCCATAGGTTTCCAAAGTGTGAGCTTTCAGGAGTAAGTTAAATTCAGCAACCGGTGGGCTCTGGCCTCTATAACATTACACGAGAAAAGGGAGAGTTAATATGGAAAATAAAAGAGACGTGGAGTTCCCTTCATTCAATAAAATGTGATATCCTAAACTAAATAGAGAAATCCCTACACAAATAGTCATCAGGAAGACTGGTCATTATGCCTCACCACGAGGAGCCCTTTGTGAAGGAAGCTGAGCTCCTGCTCCCTGGCTGACTGTTCCATAATAAACCCACGCCTACTCGAGGACTCCAGTGACCTGTACACTTAATCAAGGTTATCAAGTTACTAATAAGCAGGCCCTTGGAAACGCAATCTTACTATGAAATAAAACTCAGCATCTGTTCTTTGCAACTTATTTTATAGCTTATCCAGGATAACTGACATTCCTTCTTGCCCAGGGTAGAAAGTGGGCGATCCTGTCACCCCATCAACAAGCCTAAACAGAGCCATCCAGGTAAGAACGACCTGCCGACCATTCCACTGGAAAGCCCTGGATTTTGAAAGGAAATCTCAGCCACTAATATTAGCATTGTCCTCCTGGGTGATAAACACGGTCTTGGCCTCAAGCAGAGAGGGGACTACAAATGTAGATGGCTGTGGAAAGCCCTTTGGGGGCTAACTTCCCAACCAGGACTGTGCAGCATTTCAAAGACTCCGCTTTGACTGACATGACCATTCCACGGGTATCTTAGAGGATCCGAACTACTCCCCAAGGCTAAATATATAACCCTAACAACTAAGAAGAGTTTGCTAAGGAAACAGCTGGAATTCACTTTTATTTTTCAAAGGTAAAACTGTATTGCAACATTAAACCTATTTCCACATAATGTTTTCCCCAAAGATAGATTTCCTCCACTACCCCCTCAAGACAGTGAAGAGTCATCATCATGCCTCTAAATCAAAAGAGTATCCCATTTTCCTTCTCCCTAAAGCCTTTCAAAATAGTCTCTCTACCCCAGGACACTGAAATTTCACTGTGATGTGTCTAAGGAGTCTCTTCCTTTATTCCTCATGGCCAGCACTGAGGAGGCCCTTGCAATCCAACCACCTGTATCTTTTCTTTGGCCATTTCTTTGATTTTTTTCTTCTCTTCTCAACTTCCTTCTTTACTCCCAATCACTCTTTCTCTCTCTTCTCTCCTTTGAGAGGACCTAGTAAATGGATTTTGAAATTCCAAGGTCTGTCCTTCATATCTTTTAAGCTTTATTTCATTCTTTAAGTCTTTTTGTACAACATTCTGAATTATTTCTTAATTCAGCCTTCCAGCTTGCTAATTTATTCATCTGTGTGCATTTTGCTCTTCATCCCATTCATGAGTTTTTAAATATCAATTATATATTTCACTTTCAATGTAACATCTATAGGCATACCTTGATTTACTGTGCTTCGCTTTATTGCACTTCACAGATATGGCTTTTGTTTATTTATTTATTTATTTACTTATTTTTTACAAATCGAAGGTTTTTGGCAACCTTGTATTGAGCAAGTCTATGGGCACACTTTGTCCAATAGTATATGTTCACTTTGTGTCTCTGTGTCACATTTTTGTAATTCTTGTGATATTTCAAACTTTTTCATTATGATTGTTATTTGTTATGGTGATCTGTGATAAGTGATCTTTGATGTTACCATTTTAATTGTTTTGTGGCACTGTGAACTGCATCCAGATAAGAAGGTGAACTTAACCAATAAGTATGTGTGTTCTGGATATTCCCCCGTCTCTCTAACTCTCTTCAGGCCTCAGTATTCCCTGAGACACAGCAATACTGAAATTAAGCCAATTAATAACCCTACAATGGCCTCTAGGTACCCAAGTGAAAGAGCCAATCGATGTGGCAAACATCACTGTTGTTTGAAGGCATTGCCACGCCCACCCTAACTGCAGCAACCACCACCCCCGTTGGCCAGTGGCCATCGACTCTCCGCTAACATTTTTAAAGCAATATAGTATTTTTAATCATGTACATTTTTACATATAATACTATTTCACACTTAATAGACTATAGCATAGTGTGAACATCACTTTGATATGCACTGGGAAACCAAAAAATTTATGTGACTTGCTATATTACTCACTTGCACTAATCTGGAACCAAACCCGGAATACCTCCAAGGTATTCCTGTATTTGGCTCTTGAAAGAGTCGCCTGTTCTCATTTTATTAAACATGAACTCTTCTTATTTCTCTTACATTCGCTTTCGGAATTCAGCCTTGTTTGCTCCATTAACACCACTTTTTTTTTTTTTTTTTTTGGTGATGGTGCTTTGGTTTGCTAAGTCAGAGTTTCTCATTCATTGAATTGATGTTTCCTTAAGTGTTTGGTGATTCTTGATTGGACAGTCATCTTTATATCTGATGTTATTCTTTAATGCAGCAGCCTCCAAAGGTTGTAGGGAAGGATAGGATGTGCCATGTGGGAAGTTTGTATCAGTACTTTGATTTAAAGCTGAAGGTTCTAGTTCCTTCCAGGTCTTTTCCACACACAGGCACCCCTAGCTCAAGCCTGGAAGCAGAGGAAGGGGTCAAAGCTACCCAACTGCTCCAAAGGCAGTTGCCCACCTACCATGATGGCCAACCTGTGTACCTGCTGCCTGAAGCACTCAGAACCACTCCTCTCCTACGTACATGTTTGCCCTGGATTTCCTGTTACCTGCCTTCCGAAGATGCCTCAGGACTTCTGATCCAAAGAGATGGTATTCCTTCCTATATCCATTGACTAATACTTTTTCTATTATTCATAGGGACTTGGAAAAGGAAGGAAAGGTAGCTACATATGCTACCTTTTACTTTTAATAGGAGAGATAGTTTTAAAATCCATCCTTTACAGAATATATTCCTGAGGAATGAACTCAAGATCCTGCTTTAGAAAAATAGTCTTTCTAAAGCCTTTCAGGATTTTCTCTTTAGTTTTCATGTCCTGAAAGTTCAGTGATATATAAAGGGAACATCTTTATTTATTCACCTGATCAGCATTGTACAGGCCCTTTCAATCCAACAACTCCTATTTTATTTTTTAACATTTCTTTGATTCTGTTCTTTCAAGTTATAGTCATAGTAATTATTTCTCATCTTGATAAATTAACAAAAGATTCAAGAAAATCACCAACTGTCTTGACAAAAATGGGGAAAAGATTTTTTTTTTTTAGTTTTCTCAGTCTATAAAGGTTTTTTTTTCTCCTCTCCCTAGCATTTTTATAAATTCTTAAAGTAGCATCTTGCCTTTCAACAGGAAATAAAGATAATTATAAAATCTACGTATTGGTCTTTCTCACCCCTTACCTAAGAATGCACACATCCTCTCCCTCTCTCTCAGTCACTCGTACACTCATCTTGCCCCGCTTCCTAGGGACAAGGCACAAAGCTGACCTGTCCAGCATGTTGCTAAGCAGGACCCCCGCCCTTGGTGGCCCTCAATGCAACACTTCAGCCCAATGACCCAGCCGGAGGCCAAAGGGAACCAGGACCAGGGCCTAATCAGCTCAGGGCCTCCCACAGCCTCAGGCCAGTATCTGCTCCTGGGAGAGTCCCCCAACTTGAGCTGAAAGGCCCTTGCTCTGCACACCCTAGTAACAGCACCTCTGTTACTCTGTCCTTAGTGGGTAAACCATCAGCACCTTTGTGTAAGCCACACATTGCTTATTCTCAAAAGTCATGATTGGGCTTAAAACACACGCTTCTTTTCTAGTCAGTCTGAGGAACACGTTAATTGTCCAAAGTTATAATTTGGAAGTTTACGTTGGGAAGTAAGTTTTGCTTGCCTAGGCAGTCTCTCTCTGACACATCCCTGTCCTTCATATATCAACGGGCGTTTAATTTCTAATCGCAAACATTCAACCCCAAGGGGCAACGGGTGCAGCGCTCCATGGCTCCTGCGGACGTGCCATTAAACTCAGAGGCCTCATGGAGGCGACCGCCCAGGCTGTGACAGGGCAAGCCCCAGTATGGGAAAAGATTTCGGCAACACGTACAATCAAATAGAAAAAGACTCCTATGTAGATTTTAAAAATCCTATAGAATGCTTAAAAACTCCTATAAATCAATAAACACGATTTAAAAAAAAAAAAAAAGATAACCCAGAAGAAAAATCGGCAAAAGACCAGACACTTCACAAAATAAGATATCTAATTAGCCGACAACTACATGAAAGTGTGCTTAACCTCTTTAGGATTAGGAAAATGCAAATTAAAACTATGAGAAATCTTTTACACATTCATCTGACAGCTAAAATTTAAAAAACAATACTAAGTACTCATGAGTATGTGCTGCAAAACAACTCTTATTGTGTTTGGTAAGAGAGCGACTTGGCAGAACTATCTGAAAAACTGTCACCTACTAAAATTGAACATGTTTACTCTATAATACAGCAATTCCATTCATAGTTACATATGCAACAGTAACGAGTTCATGTTGCACCAAGAAATATATAGAATTTTCATAGTACTGTCATTTGTAATAGCAAATAGGAAACAACTTCAAATGTCTGTCAATAGTGGAATGGATCTACAATGGAATACTATGTGACCATGAAAATAAATGAATTAAAACCACACACAAAATGTGTGACTATCACAAAAAATAAAACTGAACAAAAGAAGCCAGATGTAAATGAATACACACTGAATGAATTTTGTTTACATGGCTTTCAAAAATGAGAAAAAACAAAACTAAAGTGTTGAAAGTAAGTGATGTCATTACCTTTGGGGGCAATGGAGGAGACAAATATCAAGAAGGAGCATAATAGGGGCTCCTGAGGTGTTGTCAATTTTCTCTTTCACCTGGGTGGCAGTTACATACATACTTGCTTCATAATTCATTGAGCTTACACCTACGTTTTGTATACTTTTCTGAATCTGTGTTATCCTTCAACTTTTAAGAGTTTATACAAAAAGGAAAAGAGCCCTGACTGCTGTGGCTCAGCTGGTTGGGTGTGATCCCACAAAGTGAAGGGGTCGCGGGTTAGATTCCTGGTTGGGCCACATGCCTGAGTTGCAGGTTTGGTCCCTGGTCAGGGCACATG